GTTGCCGGAAGGCCCGGGAGTCCGTCGGGGTGGTTGGCGGAAGTGACGTCGCGGACCTCTGCCGATGTCACCTGACCGCCTCCCCGAAATTGGCTCTCAGGCCGTCCCCACAGCCCAACCTTACCTCCATGTATTGGAGGGAGGGGACCGCACGCCCAAGGGGAGGTTCTCCAGTGCTGAATGGCATACCAATCCTGGAGATCGTTCCGCCCCCTGGCTGAACGCTTTGCTCCGCCCATATTGCCCTCGCCAAAAAGTTCCCATGATGGAACAGGGCAAACAATAAAATAGAGTGTAGTAATGTAGGGCCGTGTGTGGGCAAAATAAAGAATTGAGAGAGAGGAGGAAAAAGACATATGAACATAATTAGTACACATATATGTAAATATGACAAATATTTGCATAAAGTTCCCATTATGTAAGGTGACCTTTTTAATAAGGTGCATAGCGATTATATATATATAGTTATTAGTGAAAATTAGTGCAATTATACCTAAGGTGCTTCTTGTGCATGGTGACCTTTGTGATAAAGTATATATACCTTGACATATACAACGATGTTTAAGGACTGGTATAAAGATATGTATCCTTATTACTCATGTTTAGAAAAAAGTGATAAAAAAAGTTGTAATGGCTAGGATAAAAATGGAACTAAAAGCTAAAAAGTGGAGACTAGATAGTATTGTATTACTACAGTAGTGTTGGTGGAATCTATGTGTTTTTCTCTGCCAGATTGTGCCTTTTATACTAGTCTGTTAAGTCAGTACAAATCTACTGAAAATAATAAGGGCTAAGTGAACACTAGACTATGCAAAAAGACATTTTGAACATAAACTGATTTGTTTGAATCAAAATATTTTTAATACAGACCTGAACAAAATGATTCATCCGGAAAATAATTTATAATCTAGATGAATTGATTAATTTGGATATGGATTAAAAGGATTTTGATTTGGAAGAATCTATTCATTTATGAATGAAACGTCAGTTTATCACAGGCACAATCTAGCAAGATCTAAAAAAAAATCACCATTTATCTGTGTGATTCAGGACCTTTTCGACAATTATGATATATTTTGTGGACCGATTTATAAAGAACCATCTAATCTATAAAATCATTCAAAAGATGAATTCTCACAACTATTGTAATTGTGGTATGCAGTGATTTGAAAACATGATAGATGAAGAGCTACAGAAGCTACATAACCTCTACTTACGTATTCATTGCATGCAACCTTATATTATTATGTATCATAGTTCTTTACACCACATCTCAGCACTTTCAAAGCTCACAGATTTTAAAAGTTTTTTTTATTATTATTTTAAAAATTTTAATTTAATACCACAAACCAAATTCACTGTAAATTTTCTTTGCCAATGCGGTTCAAAACATTTCAAATAAAAAACATAAAACCCAAATGTCTTTCATGATTGACTCACACTTATGTGCACACGTTATTTCCATTGCCATCATACATCAACTCCCACAATTTCCTGTTTGAGTTAATTCATTTTACTTACTTAGAATAAGTGAAGAAATACATATTGTCTCTTCAAAATAAACCAAGTAGATTATTTTAGGGGAAACCCCCTGGATTATCTAACTAGCCCTTTCCTGGTAAAATAGAAAATAGCATGCTACAGCTACTCTGTCACCTTTTTTCTTCTCATTCTCTTGCCCCCTCACCCCCCCCTCCCCCTTTTGTTTCTTCAACTTTTTTTAATAATGCCTAATTTAAAAACAAATTATACATATGGAAATGTAGGGAATAACTTGAAGGTTGACAAAACAGGTGCGGTGGAGCTTTAGTCAAGCTCTAAAACCTTTTACCACATTTTCATTGACTGTACTCACCTCCTCCGGCCTGCCTCACGGATCCTTAGTGATGACTCTTGCACAATCAATGAGTTAACTCATGGAAGCTGCTGGATGCACACACAGGCATGCACTTGCTCTAGGAAGGGCAAAAATTGGGATCTCCAGTCGACACTGTGTTAGAAACTTTAAGATTTGGGCGCCATTTGTGAAGGATTGGAGCCTATGTCCCTCCATCTTGTTTCATTAGGCTAGTTTTAGTTATTGTGTACGTGCAGCAGATAGCAAAGACAGCATGTTCTTCCAAAGAATGTGTGTTACAGGATGTATTTCCGTAGAACCTTGGGAAACCTACCAAGAGATAAGGCTAAGAGGGTGTATGAGTGATCACAGGAATACTTTATAAAACTAGTTAGAAATGCTTTTTTGGCTTAAAGCCTTCTTTGTCTAAACTGCATTTATCCCAACTTGCTGTCTGTGTTTTATATGATTTCTCTGGGCCCATAACAGACATGCTAATCTGGAACCATAAATCATACAGAAGTCAGGATTTCCCTGACACATGAAAGAAGACCTCGCAGGACCAACACAACATTAAAAATGTATATGGGGCCAATAAGGCTTGTGGATGGCTAGAGATTGGGACCTATAGGTTTGGGTTTAGAGAATTTAAGTAGTGACAAAGCTGCTTTAAGCGGTTTCTAGGGAGTATTTGCAATGTCTAAAAATATTTTCAATAGTTAACAGATACATCACTGACACAATTAGAAAAGTACCTCTGACCAAAAAAGCTGCTGCCTTTGAAGTCATTATGTTATCGAATTTTTGCGAGAGATTTTCACACCAAGCGCTGTTTAGGTTTCTTTCTGTAGAATCACTTTCATGTTATGAATACCACATATCTGCATTTGAAAATAAGCATTGTCCAAGTCATTCTTATTTTCTGGTTTATAAGCTTTTTTTCTTTGTTTTTATAGTGTTTCTTATGCACTTTATAATGTTTATAATAAATTCCACAATATATTCTCCATTCACTTTGTGCCTCTCTTAGATTACGAGGGCAGATGCAAAACCACAAAAGACAGTTGAGCATTTTAATGAATGTATTCAGATGTAAAACAAGAACAAGAGAAACACATCATATATAATAATGCTTAGAAAATATAAAAATTAAGTACAAATGCACACTTATTAATATATAAGCACTTCGTTTTAAAAGTACAAAGTGTTTGCTTTGGGCCCATTTGGTCTTTAGTGGCAAGTTTCCATCTTCGTCCTCCTAGGACAGTGATGGCGAACCTTTTTGAGCCCGAGTGCCCAAACCGCAATACATGCCAACTTTTTTTCCTCAAAGTGCCAACACGGCAATTAAACCTGAATACTGAGGTTTAGGTTTAGAAAAAACAACTCTAACAGTTGTCCGAGCTAATTAACATCTTTTGTTTTAAAAGAAGAACACAACAGAGTTAAATGATACAAACAGTTTTTCTATTGAAAAAACATAAATTCTAGTAAATTAAAACACACTGGTGTTCGGTGGGCTTTACCTTATTAAGGACCTATTCCCACCTATCCACCTGCAGTTTGCATGCATCTTACATGCTGCTTTGGCACAGTTTACATCAGAATTACATCCGTCTTACATCCAGTTTTGGTGCAGCTTCCTATGTATGTCAATGGATATGCATTTTTCATCAGGTTTCTGTCCATCCAGCTGCACCAAAACTGCATGTAAACTGTGCCAAAGATGCGCACAAGGGGATACTCAACTTGTAATATGATTACATGCCAGACTGAAATATTATGAGGAAAGCCTTACTCTGGGTCCTTTCTCTGCTTCTACAGTTACAGTAAATGTCAACCTGAATTAGGATGAGCAAGATAAACAAGGAAACTAAACTTGCTTAACACACTTTAAACAACTCCTAAATTAGTGTTGTGACAAGACCAATCTCGCCACTGTGCATTGGAGGAACCTGGTTGCCTGCCTGCTGCCTTTAGACTATGGCCCCATGTTGAAACACTTGATTTCGGTGCTTAGCCTGTTTGAGCGGTGTTACCCGATCTGAGCTATCTGGGGACATGTTGAATGTAACTGTTTTATGCAATGGCTGCACAGTTATATATTTTTATGTATTTTATTGTCTTTTGCTGGAGTTTTGCTGGAGATGATTGGATTACTTCCCAATTATCTCCAGGATAGAAGACGCTGTGGAACTGGTTTTGGGCAGAAAAGCCATGCTTCATTTGGTCACAAAGGACTACGATCTATCTTTTGAACCACTGGACCAATTTGTATGATTTTGATGTATGTTTGTATTTGGAGTATGCTGATTCTGATGCATACTTTGAAAGTTATAATAATTTGGAAAAAACTGTATTTCTCTGCCTGTGATAACTACAATACCCATTGTGTAAGGTAATTGTTTCACAAGCAGAGGGGAGGATTTTGTGTGGGAGTGTCTGAGTGTATTGTACGTGTTTATTGGTTGTTTTCCAAAACCCTGTGGGTGGTACTAATGTGTATATAAGAACAGTAAACCCACAGCTCTGTCTGTTCCTGCTTGACCCTCAAAACGGAGCCTTGTCTCGTTCTTGGGGGGATTTATTGTATGCTGTTCCAGTTTGACTGCTAGGAGCATTCGTATGTTTCTGGTTCAGCAGTTTACGGCATTCACATGCTTCTCCGGTTCGGTGGATTGGTGTCTACAGTAGCTGCCTGTATATCTCAAAGAGAATATCTCCTAAACGGCTGTTAACCCCTTTTATGCCTGGGGGTGCTGTTACAAGGGTCTTGGACACAAACACTGCATTAGTAAAAGTTTGCAGTTAGCATTCTTTTGCACAATTAATGTGATTTTTGCTGCTGTATGCAGGCTGCACATTTGTCAAATCTTGGCTCATACTCCGTTAGTTTGAGAGCAACACATGCAGCACTCAATTCATCTGTTAGTCTGTTTCTGGTATCAGATTTGATATAATTCAATGCTGAAAACAACTGCTCACAAGCATAAGACGACCTAAACAATGAAAGAAGAGCAATCCCAAGTGCTTTCATTGACTTAAAGTTATTCGGCAGAGAATTCCACACTTTAAGGATTTCATTTTCAGGACTATCAACTGTGCTGTCCATTGTCATCCCTTCACATTTTATCTTCTCAAGTGTGGCACGCAGGACATAGAATTAATTTTTCCAGATAGACCTTTCTTGAAATTCTAATAGCTCCATTTCCAGATTTTCTAAATCTAACCAGTGTAAGCAGGAAATATCAAGCTCTTCATATTTGGCTTTATCTGGAGAAGTGAGAAAATACAGGGTTGTCTCCATTTTCAGGAATTGCAAGAATCCTTTACTAAAATTCTCCTTAGCAGCTGCTACAATGCTAGAAAGTTCCTTGTGGATTTCCTGATGGCTTTGAGGATTGTCCGTAAATATTGTAGCATTTTCCAAATGTATTTTTAGATTTGGAAAGTATTTCAGCTGCCCACTTTCAATGTCTCTTTCAAAAACCTGCAGCTTTCTCTCAAATGTTCTGATATCACAAAACATCCTTTCTGCTGTTTTCCCTACACCTTGCAGTGTTTTGTTCAGTACATTGAAGTGTGCTATAAAATCTGTAAAAAACATGAGGTTGGTAAGCCAGGCCGTATCAGTGAGCTGGGGATATTCTTGCCCCTTTTCATTCATAAACAGCCTAATTTCATCCAAACAAGCCACAAATCTCTCCAGGACTCGTCCTCTGCTCAGCCATCGGACATTATTGTACATAAGTAAAGTGTTATACTGTCCATGTACCTCATCAAGAAGTGCTTGAAACTGTCGAAAATTAAGAGAACGAGCCATGATGTAATTCACCATTTTAGTGACATCTTTGAGGATATCTTCTAATTTTTTGCTGCTGTCCCTGGCACAAAGAGCTTCCTGGTGTATAATACAATGAAACTGTATGAGTGGATGTTTTGCTTCTTTAACAAAGAACTGTATGAAACCAGATGTTGCCCCAACCATGCAAGGTGCTCCATCACTAGTAATGGATACCACCTTTTCTGGTCTTATTTCTTGTGCCAAAAAAAGCCTCCATCACAGAATTGTGGCTATCTATTCCTTGTGTTCTTCTAGGCAAGGACAACAGTTTTAATAGCTCTTCTCTCATGACGTCACCAACAGCATAACGCAAAATTACTGCTAGCCTTCCATGATTATTTATATCTGTGCTTCCATCCAAGCACATGGAGTAACAGGCTGCATTTGTAAATCAGTGGAGAGCTGCTGACTAACATCGCTTCCCATGCGCATGACTCTATCTTTAACAGTATTTCTGCTAACTGGCATCTCAGAGATGCGTTGCATAATTTTATCCTTGTTTGGGAAATCATGAAAGAGGGAACTACCCCCAGCCAACATGGCCATTTTGATAAAATCCCCATCAGAAAGAGGCTTACCATGTTTTCCTATGCACAATGAAATTTGAAAGCTGGCAACTGTCAGATGATTTGATTTAGAAAGATAGTTGGAAAAACTACGATACTGGGAGTGATATTTCCTCAATGTCTCCTTAAGAAACTCTTTTATTTCAGATTCTCCAAGTTTGGCAACACTTTTGTGGTTGGTGTCAAAGTGACGTCTAACACTTGATGTGCGGGACAAAACACTTTCACTACACAGAATACATAACGCTTTTCCATTGCGTTCAATCACTCCAAATGATTCTGTCCAAACTTCTTGGAATGATCTTCCACTATCTGTTTTAAACTTTTTTTGCTGTACTCATTTTTTGTGTTTGTGACGTGAGGTCTATAAAAACACAAAATTTATAAAAGCAAAAGACTGTAAGGGTACATATTGCTCACCAGCACAAAGAAACACTACATATCACTTATTACCACACTACGAATGTAAAGGGTGGAAAGGATACTTGTCATTTATTACCACACTGCAAGGTTTGACAGTTGTAGCGTGCTGGTGAGTGACATGTACCCTCACAGTGTAGTAATAAGTGATATGTCTCTTTGTGTTTGACGGAGTTAGATGCAGAGAGAGGGCACCGGAAGCTTCATTTTGGCGGCTGGTACATGTTAGGATTTGTTTTTTCTGGTCTGTTGTGGGGCTTGTCACAAAGGCTGCAAAAATTGGCATGTGACAGTAACTCTTTAATGACATAGGTAGCTTGTATCAAGGCCTTTTAATCATTCTTTTTTAAAATAAAAATGTTTAATCTGGGTTGGGTACATACCAGATTCAACCTCTGCAAAAAATGTGTCCAAAGTCTTTTAAGGCATGGGAGCAATTTAGATTCAGTGCTGCAAAAAATAAATCAAATAATCAAAACAATCAGCCAATTGATTATGTAAATAATCTAAGCAGCCAATTGATTATGAAAATAATCATTAGTTGCAGTACTTTATCCCTGTACCACTTTCACTGGTACTCTCCACGAACGTAGGCAGTCCAAAATCTGCAGAAAATAGTAAAAATAAAATTGTTGCCAGTGGTCAGCCCCATCAGAATAAAAACAGTGACACAGCTGTCAGCCCCCATCAAAATAACATTGGTGGCACAGCGGTTAGCCCCCATCAGAATCACTGAATAAAAATGATAAATGGTTTCAAGGGGGGCTGATCTACTAAGTGTAGCTCAAAACAGGTATGGAAGTAACAATACAAAAAAACGTCCTAAGCAGAAATCACATAAAAGAACACCATAGATGCTAAAAGCAATTAAGAGTGAAATACCTGGAGCTAGAATTCGAATAAAATAACAAGGGGGATGACTGAAGCAAGTAAAATAATCTAGGAGAGAGAATCATAGTACAACAGCTAAATATATTCGACGTCATTCCTTGTCTCCCGGTGGCATCAGCGGAGGGAGCAGTGCTGGGACATTGCTCCCTCGCAGCCCTCTATCCCACCCACCAGTGCCATCTTAACCACATTATGGGCCCCTGGGCAAAACAGTGGGCCCTGCCTACACACAACTCACAGGAATATTTTTTTTAATTATAGATAAAATTAAGCTTAGATTTATTAGTATCTCCAACAATTGCAATGCATACATACATAGATACATACAATACACACACACACACTGACACACACACACACAGACTGCTGAATACACACACAGACTGCTAAATGCACGCACACAGTCCGCTAAATACACACACACAGACTGTGTGTGTGTATTCAGCAGACTGTGTATGTATTCAGCAGTCTGTGTGTCTATTCCGCTGTGTGTGTACTCAGCAGTCTGTGTGTGTACTCAGCAGACTGTGTGGATGTATTCAGCAGTCTGTCTGTGTGTGTATCTAGCAGTGTGTGTATTCAGCAGACTTTTTCCCAACTGCTGAGTACACACACATAGTCTGCTGAATGATCACAGACTGCATGTATTCAGCAGACTGTGTATGTGTGTATTCAGTGGACTGTGTGTGTGTGTGTGTGTGTGTGCGTGTGTGTGTGTACTCAGTTGTCTGTGTGTGTGTGTACTCAGCTGTCTGTACGTACTCAGCAGTCTGCTGAATACACACACTGCTAAATACACACACAGACAGACTGCTGAATACACTTAAATAGTCTGCTGAATACACACACTGCTGGATACACACAGACAGAATGCTGAGTACACACAGTCTGCTGAGTACACACAGACAGTCTGCTGAGTATACACACAGACAGTCTGCTGAGTACACACACACAGACCGCTGAGCACACACACACAGACCGCTGAGTACACACACACAGACCGCTGAGTACACACACACAGACCGCTGAGTACACACACAGACTGCTGAGTACACACACATAGTCTGCTGAATGATTACAGACTGCATGTATTCAGCAGACTGTGTGTCTGTGTGAGTACTCAGCTGCCTGTGTGTGTACTCAGCAGTCTGTGCGTACTCAGCAGTCTGCTGAATACACACACTGCTAAATACACACACAGACAGACTGCTGAATACACTTATATAGTCTGCTGAATACACACAATGCTGGATACACACAGACAAAATGCTGAGTACACACAGTCTGCTGAGTAAACACAGACAGACTACTGAGTACACACAGACAGTCTGCTGAGTACACACAGCCAGACTGCTTAGTACACACAGACAGTCTGCTGAGTACACACAGTCTGCTGAGTACACACACACACACAGTCTGCTGAGTACACACACACAGTCTGCTGAGTACACATACAGTCTGCTGAGTACACACACACACAGTCCGCTGAGTACACACAGACAGACTGCTGAATACACACACACACACACACAGCTGAGTACACACACTCTGCTGAATACACACACACAATCTGCTAAAACACACACTGCTGAATGCATGCTGCAGAATACACACACACACAGAATGCCGAGTACACACTGTCTGCTGAATACACACACACACACAGACCGCTGAGTACACACACACACACAGACTGCTGAGTTCACACAGACCGCCGAGCACACACACACAGACCGCTGAGTACACACACACACACAGACCGCTGAGTACACAAACACACAGACCGTGAGTACACACACACACAGACTGCTGAGTACACACACACACAGACTGCTGAGTACACACACACAGACCGCTGAGTACACACAGACTTCTGAGTACACACACACCGCTGAGTACACACTGACCCCTGAGTACGCACATACAGACTGATAAATACACACACACATATACTGCATTGGGGGTGCAGTGTATGTGTTTGTGTGTGAGGTGTGCGCTGAGTACACACAGACTTCTGAGTACACACACACCGCTGAGTACACACTGACCCCTGAGTACGCACATACAGACTGATAAATACACACACACATATACTGCATTGGGAGTGCAGCGTATGTGTTTGTGTGTGAGGTGTGCTGTGTGAGTGGAGGTGCTGTGTGTGAGTAGGTGGGGGTGCTGTGTGAGAGTGGGGGGATGCTGTGTGAGAGTGCGGGGGTGCTGTGTGAGAGTTAGAGAGTGCTGTATGAGGTGGGGGTGCTGTATGAGAGTGGGGGGTGCTGTGTGAGTGGGGGTGCTGTATGTATGAGTGGGGGGCCAGGGGCGGGCTGGGCCGCTCTGTTAAGAGCCTCAGGCGGCTGCAGTTGCTTCTCCTGTTCCGCATGGAGTTTCAGTTTCCTGTACCTGGCCAGACTGATAGGAAGTGCACACTGAGTGTGCACCTTCCTATCACTCCGGCCGGATACCGCAGACCGGAGAGGAGCTCGACCACGCTACAGGGAAGGGGAGGGAGGGAAGGGGAGG